ACTTTAAAAGGTTAAGTTTGACTTGGGTCAATATTTATAGTAAACAACCTCGGAACTGGGATTTGACGGTCCCAATAGGTTCATATGATGATTTTGGACTTGGACGTATATTAGTATCGGATTTTGGATGACCCGGGAGCGTTTCGGCACCTAAAGTTGAAAGTTGGCTTATTGAAGGTTTTATAGTTCTTTAAATTTGGCTTGGAGTAGGTTTTGGTGTTATCGAGATATGTTAGGGATTTCAAGCCCGATAATAGTTCCGTATGGTGATTTAAGACTTGCACGCAAAATTTTGTGTAATTCCGAGTAGTTTAAGTATGATTCGGTGCGTTCGAAACAAGTTGGAAGAGCTTGAAGTTCATAAGTTGATTCGATTTGGTTTGGAGTATGATTCTTAGTTTTGGTATTGTTTTTCGTGTTTCGCGAGGTCAAGCAGGTCCGTTATGATTTTGAACTTGTTGATATGTTTGGACGAGACCTCGGGGGCCTCGGATGCCATTCAGATGATGCGCGAAACTCGTTCGGACTTGGAAGGAGTTGCTGAAGCAGTAGGGCTTATGGTGCATTCGCACCTGCGAAAGATTGGCCGCAGGTGTGCTTTGTGGGCTGTGTGGGCTGAGTCCGCAGGTGCAGACATGGGGGCACAGCTGCGCGACTGCAGAAACGGTCAATGGTCCGTAGAAGCGGGCAAGATCCGCAAAAGCGAGCCATTTTTTCACAGATGAGGAAGTAGGCCAGCTGAGGGAGAGCCGCATTTGCGATGAATATTCCACATAAGCGGAAGTCGCTGGGCAGTGAGGTCCATTTAATACGGGACTTAGGCCATTTTTGGTTCATTTATTTCATTTCTTGGGCGATTTTGGAGCTTCTTAAAGAGGGATTTCCACCTAGCTATTGAAGGTAAGTAATTCCTACCCAATGTAAGTTAAATACATAGATTATGGGTAGATTTTAACATGTAAATTTGTGAAAATTATGGGTTTAGATGAAAAACCTAGATTTTGATAAAAATGGGATTTAACCACGAAAATAATTGTGGAATCAAATGAAAATTATATTTTTGAGTTCGTGGGATTATGGGTAACAATTTTCTTCAAAAATTTTCAGAATCCGGCACGTGGATCCGGGATGAATTTTAAGAATCTTCCAATTTGGGTTGGGTAATTACTCTAATAGTTAAATTATTAACTTTTGAGCGTATATTGATTATTTTATATAACATTTAGCTAGTTGCGGATTGTTTGGCACCAAGTAGGGTCTTTAGAGTGAATTTGTGATCGGAAAGTGAGCTTTGAGACGAGGTAAGTCTCTTGCCTAACCTTGTAAGAGGGAATTTACCCATAGGTGATTTAAATTACTATTTGTTTCTAATTGTGGGGGCTACATACGCACGAGGTGACGAGAGTCTGTGCGTAACTACTAATTATGCTTATATCCGGGTAGTTTAGGACCCAAATCATGAAATATTTGTAATATTTGCACCCTCCTTGCTAATTAAAGTGCCTAAATTATATTGGAACTTGATAGAAAAATTGTAAAAGACTGAATTTCACTTACTTAAGTTTTGGCGGGTTACTTGATCGTTAATAGAAATTGTGCTTCTTTGTGTATTAGCCTTGTAATAACTTTTAAATCGGATGTTCATAAAGTATCCTCTCTTCTTTTGGAGCGGGCCGAACGCCTCGACAGTAGATAGATGCATCTATGGCTTGTGCCGCTCGACCCTCGGCAGTGTACACATTATTCTGGATCGGACCGTACGACCTCGACATAAATCATATGTAATAATACTCGGAGCCTAATTATACTTGATATTATTTTATGGCTTGAGAGGTTGTAATTATTAATGACATAATTTGACCTGGAAGTTACGATTAGTGAAAGAATTATGTATTTACTGCTTGTTGTTGAGTTATAATTATTGTTTATATAACACATGCTTATTTAAAATTTTTATATTTTATTTATAGCCCATAGTAAGTGTCGAAGTCGACCCCTCGTCACTACTTTTTTGAGATTAGACTAGATAATTACTAGGTACACATTGTTTACGTACTCACGCTATACTTCTGCACTAATCGTGCAGGATCTGAGGCATGTACATATGGCGGTCATATCGGCGCGCACCCCCGTTACCCCCGAGGCCTAGTGATGAGCTGCTTCCTTATGCACCTAGAGTCTCTCTTTGTATCTATTTTCTGTCTACTTTATTTCAGACAGTAGTTAGAATTTTGTATATTCTACTAGTTGCTCATACACTTGTGATACTAGGTCACACATGCTAGTAGACTTTATGATTTTGGAGTATTTATGTCACTATATTTGCACACTCAATTGCCTTTGTTTTGTTTTATTAAATTTTTTACTCCTTAATCTCTTAATAAATGGAATTTAATTACTTAAAAACTTATTAAAAGAGTAATCAAATAGTCAGTTCACCGTTGGCTTGCCTATCGGCGACGTTGGACGCCATCACAGCCTATACGAGAATTTGAGTCGTGACGGTTGCAGTTTTAAGATGTAAGTACCTTTTCTTTTTCTTTTTTACTTTCATATAGATATTCACCAAATAGCATTGCTTATGCAAGGTTGGTTAAGTAACACTCCCTATACTCTTTGATATGAAATAGTGCCTTCTTATTTTTTTCTTCAGTAACCACCAATTGACGAATCAGTGTATATTATCCAAAAGTCACTTGGTAAACTTTTGGTTTGAGCCTTTGAGACAATTCAACAACCTTCTGAATGAATGTATATTGTTCAGAATGCCACAAAGTAACCACGTTCTCCCGTACCTAAATATAAATATTTGCATTATATCATCCACTAATTGTTGGCAAATTCAGTTTACAATCGAGCCATGCATATATCTAACTTAGAAGATTAACCAGTAATATAGAAAAAAATAAATTTAATAAAAAGGAAACTCTCATATTCATAAAATGAAATCTAAAATTTGAGCAGAAACTGATACAACATGTGCAAGGATGACCTAGTTTCAAACTTACAAGATTACACAAAAAAAACAATTTAGACAAATAAAAAAGAAAGACCAAATTTTCAGTTCATCTCTGTTGCATTGAGTTTTATCATCACCACATTATAACAGTGTAAATACAACTACACATAATGGTAAATCGAAAAATGAATTTTAACCAACTATGAAAATGTAATACTGAATTTGTTGACCGTGTACAAATACAAACTATAATCGTGACCGAAGTAGAAGACAACTACTAATGAAATATTTTTTTCTCTCATATTTCTACTTCATCACCAGAAAATGGAAACATCCTTTCATTGGTTTGAGTTTTCATTTTCCCCTTCAAATTTCATGTTATTCATTATACTCATATTTTAATATTATCTATACAGTTTAAAAAAATTTGTACGTATTAGTATGAGTTACACGTGCAACGCAAGTATTCAGAAACTAGTTATTTCTAAAAAACGGGGCCCTCAAAATTGGGGCATAAGCCTTACTAGTAAGGGGTCGTTTGGTATATTGAATAAGGATAATAATTTCTGAATAAAGTTTAGGACTAACTTTATCCCATGTTTGATTTGGGGTATTAATTAATTCTGGAATAATTTTACACCAAAATAATAAAATTAGTTATCCCATATAGAACGCGTGATAACTAATCCAATGAGATATCCATAACAAACAACCCCTAAGAGTAATAAAAGAAACATTTATTTTTAGGTTACCAAACAAAAAGGACAAATAATTGCCCAAAAGCATTAATTAAAGGAATTAAATCCTCCTTAAAATCACCTGATTTGAGCTGGATATGTTCTGTTAAATACATGGACTGAAATGTCACACGAGAAGAATAGACTATGAAACCATATTTTCAACAACAGTCAATATCAATTTCACTACGTGGTCCTTAATTGGTCCACATCAAAATTGGAACTCCAAAATTAATTACTTCTGTTTTGTTTTATTTTGTTTTATTTTATGAATTAAATTTATGCACTAGTATTTATTTATCTTTTAATTAACGCAAATATTTTCATGGTAATACCAAACTTTTTAATAGAGTTTATGACTGATATCTAAACATAAAACATCTAACAATGGAAAAAAAATACAGAATATATAAGACCGTTATAAAATGAACTAAACCTTAGTATTTTTATCCAAATATTATTTTTATCTTAAAAAATAATTATTTTTAATTATAATTTAAACGATAATTAAATATTAATAAACGATCCAAATCTGACATCCTACTTTTCCTATATTCACTCCGTAGTATTCCTTTCTCTCTTTTTTGTGTGAAATCTGCAAGCAATCCGCAGAACGGCCAAAAAGAAGATAAAAACTAAAAAGCAAATTCAAATAAATACACGAACTCAAAAGAAATATGTAAGTTTTTTCCTTGCTTTTTTCCCAATGCTAGATTATTTTTTTGTCCCCAATTTATTTCACTCTTTTCATTTTGATTTTATGAATATTTATCATCACTCAATTAACATTATGATTTATAATATTTTACAAATTTGAAATAAGCCAATAAGAATCTATTACTCTTTAATCCAAAATTAGTTGAGTCAATTATATGTATTTTATTATCAATCCCGTTTTATGTATCAATTATATTGAATGTGATTATTATTTATACTCATGTACTTTGTGTATATCTTAATGTGTATTTTTACTATAATCATATTATAATTGATTATTGCGTCTTAAGGCTCAACATAATAATTTTCATATAACAATTTTGATTATGTGTGATTAAATACCTTAATTATATAGTAATTGCATATTAACTTTGTTCCCAAAATGCATGTATTATGTCACAAATGCAAACTTTCTTTTAATTTTTTTTAAAGAATTATTTAACTATGCAATTTAAAAGTGTGATACTTTTCGATATTAAATAATGGCCGTAATAATAATTTCAATTTAATATGTAACGTAAGAATAAATATTAGTATAAAAATCTGGTCAGTCAGTCANCACCCCCAAAACCTCAAAACAAAAATAGACAGACACAACACAACCCACAAACCTCCCTCTGTTGTTTTGTTTGGTTCTTCTTTCTTCTTCATCAATCTACTTTCACCAGCAGCAAATTATTATTAGAACCCTTTAGATCTCCTACTTAGATTCTCCTTTACTGAGTTAAAACCGAGTTATTGTACTCTCGATCCGAGTTCAACTCAGTTCTTGATACTATTTATTTTGTGTCATATTTTTTGCAATGTGGGGTTCACTATTTTGAACCCCTTTATGAAAATGTCGGCTTCACTTGCTGCATTTGAGCGTCCACGAATTGGTACTTCAAATACGGTAAAGTTTCTTATTTTTAAATTTTTTTATATTCTATGTTTTATTTCAATGATTATGTGTTTTATTGCTGGGATTAGGAGAAAATTTGCGGGGTTATTGTCAAGTTACTGATGGCCAAAATTTGGACTTTTTATGAATTGGGTTAGAGTTTTTCTTTTAGCCTAATGGATAAGTTAGAATAGTAAAAGAAAAAAATTGGGTTTATTTAGAATGGCATAATCTAAAAAAAAAGGGAGAAAAATGTGGGGTCATTGTGAAGTCAATGACGGTCAAAATGGGAAAAAATTGGAAATTTAATGGATAAGTTAGAATTGGAAAAGAAAAAATGTGTCTATGTAGGCATTGTTTAAAAAAAAGGATTTTTTGGGGCTGCTAATAGTGAAGAAAATTCTGGGGTATTGTGACGTCAATGATGGTCAAAATTGAGAAAATTGGGACTTTTGAAATGGATATAGTTTTTAGCCCGATGGATAAGTTAGATTGTACTTATATAAAAAAAGGGTTAGAATTGTAAAAGAAGATTTTGCGTCTAGTGGTAAGATTGCAACACGTGATGTGTGGGTTAGACGCATCTTATTGGTTTAAACCTTGTCGCAGACAAACACATGGTATTTAAGTCGAGGAGGGTAGAGGTACGAGTCTATTATCTACGGAAGTTCGAACTGTGCGCCACTAGCTCTTGCTGATTTTTTTATTATAAAAAAAAGAACAGAGAGGAAGGTTTTGTGTCTATGCAAGTTGGTATAGTTAAAAAAGAAAGATTTTTCTCTGGTAATAGAGAAGAAAATTGCGGGGTTATTGTGAAGTCACGGATGGTCAAAATGAAAGAATTTGAGACTTTTTATGAATTGGGTTAGAGTTCTTTAGCATAATGGATAAGTTGGAGTTTTCAGAAAAAGAATTGGGTCAATGTGAAATAGTATGATATTAAAGATTATGTTTTGATGGTGTTATACCAGTTTTAATTAATGGATAAGATAGAAATATAAGAGAAAATGGGGGTCATCTGTTAAAAAGTTTAGGATTTTCTGTTAATGTTCCGTGGACTTTTTTTAGGATTTTCATTTAATGTTGTTTTAACCAGATGATAAGATAGATAGAAAGGAATCTCTGGGTCATTTTGAAGTCAATTATAGTCAAATACTTATTTCAGAAAAATAGGATTATTTTTATAAATTTTTTGGATTGGATTAGAGTTAGTTTTGGATCATTTTGTAATCAATGATAATCAAATGATTTTTATTTTGTAAGATGTAGGAGTTTTTCCTTTTTTTTTTTTCTAGGTGGTAGGAGTTATATCTTTTCCCCCAAAAAACGTAGTTAGAAAAGAGAAGTAAAATTTGGGTTACTCTAAAGTCAATTATAGTCAAATTAATGAAGTTAGGGTATTTTGATTACTTTTGCAGTTGTTTTCCTCAAAGGATAAGCTAAAGAAAGATAAAAATTGGGTCAGTGTGAAGTCAATTATAGTCGAGTGATTTGCATTAGAGAAATTATGATCTCTTGGTTGGAGTTACACTTATTTTACCAAAATTGAAGTTGCAATTTAGTGCAAAATAGGCTCATTCTGAAGTCAATTACAACCATATTATTTGTGATTCAGTAAAAGTAGGATCTGAAGCTGTGATGTGCGCCTAACCCAAATCACGTATGTACTCTTATCGCTAGAGCAAAGTTTTTTTTTTTGAGAATCAAGAAATCCCCGAGGGCCGCTGACCTACAATTCGGGACTTGGTGAATAATGACATAGTGGTTGATTCAGGTAGAACAACAGTTACGGGAGATCCGGGTCAAATCCTACTAGAGGAAAAAGGTTAGGCGATTGCTTGCCTTATATCTAAGTCTTGGTGGTAGAGTTATCCAGAATAGCAGGTGGTACTTACTGGAGTAGGCGAGATGCGAACAAGTTGGCTCGCACACCATTATTATAAAGAGAAGTAGAAAAAGAAAAAAGAATTTCCCACCAAGTAATAATTGAAAAAGAAGGAATGTTTTTTTGCTGCGAGCCAGTTGGCAAAAGCTACTTATATCTCTACCAAAAGTTATAGAGGCTCTGATACCATCTGAAATAATAAGAGAAGATGAGGGATGTATTGATGATTTGATAAATAGAACACATACGTACTTATAGATGTCTAATATCTATTATGTTATTTTGTTCAATGCGTGAAATATCTAAATTTAAGAACTTATGACCTGACAGTCTAACTAGCATTAGATGCTTCTATTCGTGCTTTGCAATTAAAATTCTTGGGTTTCAATTTTTTAACTGGCTAATTGTTTGCAGGTTTTCAAGAGTGGGCCACTGTTTATCTCTTCAAAAGGTCCGTAATGCTTTTCCAGTTTCCTTGATGCCTTTATGTTGATGATTATTGCACTGGTCCGTCATGATTTGGCTTATTTGTTAGGCACTAGTTGCCTAAAACTCTGTCAACAAGCCTTTACTTGATGCTGGCTTTATATTATATATAACTTAAGGGCTGCACTTTTTTCGGGTTTAAAAGAGTTCAAAATTATCCTTCAGAATAAAAAGAGTAATTTTGCCTTTATTCTGAGAAGGCTGGTCCAATATTTGGAGGATTTTAGATTGTGATGGGGCAGTAGGTTCCATTACTGATGAGATTGAAACTAAGAGATCAGTGTGCACTAGTGTTCCTTACCCTGCTAGGTATTCATACCCTTTAGCAGATGACACTTTTGATTGAAATGATGATAAGAAAACTGTCTTATTTTCACCAGCTTTTCTTCACTTACGGCAAACCGCAAACGCAAGGAATATGTTAAAGAACTACTGTCCAAAGGAGAATAGGAGTTTGAAATACTCAGTACATTTTTCTTGGATAAGTTCAAATGCTCAATACATTAGGTCAAAACAAAATACAAAATGAAATGCTGGGATTTGCAGTTGCTGCTGGTCCAATCTAAGTGTTGTAGAACTTATTTTTGGGCTTGCACTAGTTGGTTGATGCAGAGTTCTGTGCAGTTCAATTTATTAAGCAAACTCTGATTATCTGACCAATTTGGTCGCTTGACATCTAATTCTCAAAGAATAACTTTCTGCAGGATTAGGTTGGAAGTCATGGAAAAAGCGTTGGTTCATCCTTACACGTACATCTCTGGTCTTTTTCAAGAATGATCCTGTCAGTATAATTTCTCTGAGTGTTCTTTACTTCCAAAGTTGATATTTTTGTTCGACTATTTACTTGGTTTCATATTCTATTTCTAAAGAAAAGAGAGAATCGTAGCTTGAATTCAAGCTGATGATTTAGTTCTAGGAAAACACCTAGAAGTTACTCTTTCCTTCTCTTTGCTCTTTGAAGTTCAATTCACATGAGGAACGTAGTGTGCTTTTGAAGTTGCAACACATATTCTTCAAGAATTTGAAATTTCGAATTTGCTTGGAGCCACGCGACAAATAAAAAGCAATAAGTCTGCAACTTCCAATGCGCACTACATCCATTAGCTGAATTAAATGCAATTTTTTCCGTTTATCTAAACTGTCAAATTTAAACTGTAGGGAACAAGAAATCATTCTTGAAGGATGCATAAAGCGCTTTCCAACTTAATTAGCAACACAATACATCATATCTTACCTCATGCTTATTAATGTGCAAAATGCTATTCTATAGAAAATGAGCAATAGGATCACTTATCTTTTGAATAAATACAAGGAAGCAAATAGGACCACATATCTGTTGAATAAAATTGTATTCCCACTAGGAAGAGTCCGCTGGATCTGCAAAACTTGTTGTTTGGCACCAAATATTTTAAGATAGACCTAGAGAAATAAGCTTTATGTTGACATGGTAGCAGTTCACAAACTCAAATGTAATTGATGGAATATGGATAAACTAAAATGATTTTCTTTTTTCTAGAAAGTGATTATTTCACATGGGTTTTGTCAATACATGGTTTGACATCAACAATTTCATGTGACAAAACTGATGAGAGAGTAGTACGAGTGCTGTATATTGCATAAGGCAAAACACACAGTGAGAAATTTTTACATATTCGTTATCAATTTTGCCATGCCATTTTATTTTATTTGACACACGGCACTATGCAAGTCCTACCTCTCAATTAATTATAACAACTCCTTTACCTTTATCCTCTCCTTTTCTTCTCCAGAATTCTTTGTTTCTGTCCAAAATAAGTGTCTTTTTGGACTTACAAATTTGGACCAAAATAAATATCATTTTAATCAAGAAGGCATTATCTTTTTTTAAATTTATCCTTGCCCTGATAAATAATAAGTACACCTTTGTAAAGTCTTTCCATGCTAATTTACATTTACAAAAAGAGATTAATGAGTAATTTGCAAAATTTTAAAAGACACTTATTTTGTCCAGGAGGTAGTAGAATCTTTTTCCATACATGTAGATATTGGCTCAACATCCATTTAAGAATAAACCAAACATCTGAGGAGCCTAAGATAATTCACATAGTACGGGAAAAGATCAAATAAGAAAATATAGTGAGAAAAAATGAAAGAAACTTACAGTGGATCATTATTGGAACCATCATCTATATTAGCAAATAAAAAGATTCTAGTTAAATACTATGAGGAGTAAGTTCTTATGGGAAGGAAATGCAGATAGAAAGAAGCTACATTTGGTAAAATGGCAAAAGGTAATAACTGCTAAAAAGGGAGGAGGTATGGGGGTTAGAAACTTGAGAATGCACAATAAGAGTTCACTATATAAATGGAGATGTTGCGGACGAGGGTTCCGGACTTCCGGCGAGTTGTTTTCCTATACAATGATGGAAAGGAAAGCACTTGGAAAAAACTTATAGATGCCAAATATGTGAAGAAGGATACATGGAGGCTTGCAACTGTTCACAGTTCTACAAAAGGCAATATCTGGAGCAATATTAGTAAGCTGTGGAATGAATTTCAACAACACACTAGACTGAAGCTGGGAAATGGAAGTAAAATCAGATTCTGGACTGAAGTATGGGTGTGGGATGTGTGGTTAAGTAACAGATTTCCAAGCCTATATAATTGCTCTATTATCAAAGATGGACATGTTGCCGAGTTTTACTCCACAAATGGCTGGCAATTAAACTCCAGAAGAGGTTTTAATGACTGGGAGATGGAAGAAGTGGGTCAAATACTCCAATTGTTGAGCACAACAGTGATAGAGCAAAACAAGGAGGATCGATTGGTACGGACAACAAGTAGTGATATGCAATATTCTATTAAAAGCTGTTATAACCTTCTCCAGAAACAATCTGATTCTTATGATTCTAATTGGCCTTGGAAAATGTTATGGAGAACCAGAGCGCCTACCAAAGTGGCTTGTTTTGGGTGGATTGCCATCAGAGAAGCTTGTCTTATGCAAGATAATCTACAAAAGAGAGGATTTAGTCTGATTAACAAGTGTTATTTATGTGAAGAAGAGTTGGAAACTGTTAACCATCTGTTTATCCACTGTAAAATTGCTAAACAGTGCTGGGAGCTTTTCTTGAATTTGAGTGGTGTTTCTTGGACTATGCCTTCAGACATAAAATCATTACTGTTTAGCTGGCAAGGACAGAAGATAATAAGAAGTAAGAAGCAGCTTTGGAGGACCATTCCTTTATGCATCTTTTGGACCTTTTGGGAAGAAAGGAACAATGCTTGCTTTGATAATAGGAGGATTCACATCTCTAGGATTAAAAATAATTGTATGATAAAATTATTTTTTTGGTGTAAATGACGTTTAGTTGAGAGTGTGGATCACTATTTAGAGTTTTTGGATCCGTTAGGAAACTTGTAATTGAAGTTCTGCTGCTGCAGGTGTTTGGCTGCTCTTGATGTAACCTTTGTACCATCTTGGTACCTTTATTAATAAAATCTTTACCTTATAAAAAAAAGGTTCTAGTCATGTTACTTGAGCAAGAAGAACTGATTGACCTCATAATAACTTGTGTCATATTATAATCCGTACATTAGAGGATAAGTTTATTTAAAAAAGAATAACAAATGGACAAAATCAGAAGCAACATTAACTTTGAGAAAATGGTTAGAGAATCAAGTATCACATTTCAAGCTTTAATTTTTTCATTGAAGAAGAATGAGGAGGAAAAAGAAAGGAGGATCAAATTTGATAAAAGCAAGCAGTGTCATTGTCTTGATTCGTTGAACTCTAACAATAACAAGTTGCTTATTCACATCAATGGGGAATGTAATTTCACAAAAAAGTTGCTTATTTAGTCCCTTCCATTTTTAAAAAAATCTTTTTATTGCATCATCATCATCATCCCTTTTGGTTAAGATTTATCTTTAGATTCTTCAAAATTACCACATACCTAGTCTTCTAATAATGGCATTCCTGAATGAACCGTGCCCTTCTTGCTTAAATGCCTATTCTACATGATCTTGCTTGAAGGGTTCTTTTCGGTTTAGATCTTAAAAATGACTTGTCAGAATGCTTTAAGCACAATGAATGCAATGGGAAACCAGGGTTCAAATCTCAGTCGAGACAATAAAAGTGATTTCTCCCAATCTACTAAAGTCTTAGTGAGCAGGTTTACTGTATTGGTGATGCAATAGAATAATAGAGGTGCGCAAAACCTAGCCCGAACACCACATTTATGAAAAAGGAAGAAAAAAGAAAAGGGAGGATCACATCCGACAACGGGTGAAAGTAACACATGCAAAAAAAAAAGAAGAGAAAAAGGCGTTTGAAATTGTTTGACTATGTCATATGTGGGCCTCCTGATACACTAGCTCATAAGTGTGTTATTTTGATGACCGAAGGTACTAAAAAGGGATGAGGTTGCTCAAAATCACATGGAGGAAAGTTGCATCAGTGAAACCTTAGTTAAGATTAGGATATAATAAAAGTTAAGGATCCATATATATAATACTAATTAATTGGAATTAAACTAGTTATATAGGGATAAGTTGGCAAAATACATAAGTTACCCCCCTGAACTAAGGACCAAATTCCTATTACACACTTTTTGCGGACAAAAATCATCTTACACACTTAACCTTCTCTTCTGTGTTTGACCACTTTTTTTTTAACAAGTGTATACCACGCGCCAGTAATGATATGACACGTGTCATTAACTTAAACAAAGAAAAAGAAAATGAAAAATCCTCCTTTTTCAAAACAGAAAGAAAAAGAAAAAGAAAACAACTCGCTGGAAGTCCGGAACCCTCGTCGGCAACATCTCCATCTTCTCCCTCAGTCACCTCCCTCAACAAAACTCATAAATTCCTCCTAATTACATCTTATAATAATCTTCAGCCCCCACCACAATGCTCCCCCTTCCCTATATCAAGACCCCCATTTTTCAAAACATAGGACACAAACCAGCAACCACAAACCCCTCTTCTCCCCATTTTTTTTTATTCCCACATACACCTCTACTCCCTCGAGAAACCATCATTGCAAGATTGTTCTTTCATTTTCAACCACAAAATCCATCACTAATTAGATTCCAACAAAAAAAAAAAAGGGAATAATCACTGGAGTTGTTTCTGTCAAATGGGTGATGTGAAAATGGAGAAGAGACTACTGCAATGTCAAATGGGTAAAGAGAAGTAGACGGGACTGTTTCTATGGGAAATTTGCAGCGTTCAGGTGAAGAAATATATGAAAAATATGTGTGTATGAGCTTCTTGATGATTGTGAATTGTGGATGGTGAGTATGTGAACATGACAGTGAATTAAAACTCAGTGGATATTCTGTGTGCAGGTGAATTGTGGAGTGCAAAAATGTCATAGGCGAAGACGGATCGGGGAATAGAAAAATGAAAATAACTCAAAAAATGAACAAACAATTAAAAGTTGGACACATGGCATCCGTATAAGCTTCAGACACAATTTTTAGCACTCACTCGCTTCTCTTGTGTAACTAACACGCGCATGCCACGTAGCAAAAGAGGTGTGTATTAGACACATTTTAGAAAGGTTAAGTGTGTAAGGTGATTTTTGTCCGCAAAAAGTGTGTAATAGGGATTTGGTCCTTAGTTCAGGGGGTAACTTATGTAATTTGCCGGGATAAGTTTGAATTTAGAGAACCCTTAGTTTCCCTTAAAAGGGAAGTTATTTGATAATGGAATGAAATGGACATGAATAGAGTACAGTTGATATGGAGAATTCATATAGCCGACCCCAATTAATATTGAAAAGACTTGGAAGGCTATGTGAACTGGTGGTCTAATTTGCTTTTAAATGGTAATTTGGATGCTTAAAGTCTGGAGATCTCGTTTACTCTTAATGCATGTATTAACTTTTAGTTGTGAAGCTTTTTCTCTTGTTGATTTTATCATCTGAACGCTACTGATTCATTACGCTCCTCATGTAGAGTACACTTTCACAGCGAGGAGGTGAAGTGAATCTAACTCTGGGAGGAATTGACTTGAATAATTCAGGGAGGTAATAAATGAATCATGGTCTGTTATTTTTGTATGTTCGGAGTCTATGCCTTGCTCTTACTACAGTTCCTTGCTATTCAGTGTTGTCGTTAGAGAAGATAAAAAGCTTTTGACCGTTCTGTTTCCCGATGGACGTGATGGGCGAGCTTTTACTCTTAAGGTATTTATCTCTCTCTCTCTCTCTCTCTCTTCTAAACACAAATATCATTCCAGGAACTCTTAATGCATGTTACAGGCAATTTACTTGGAGGAGTTGGGCAGCAAAATAAGTTGAATTTCTGGTTATTCTTTTCTAAACAGTTTGAAACTCCACGGGTTACTTTACACTGGTCTCTTTATACTCTTTAACTTTAGGATTATAGAAACCTGAACTTGCAACTCAAGGACGTGCTCCAAACTGAAATTAAATATTTTTTGTGAGAAAAGGGTAACTGATTTTAAATAATTTTGTTTCAGCAAAACACTATATACAGGCCTATTATCGTCTTAGATAAGCCTGATGNACACACACACACACACACCCAACACCCAACACCAAGCTCCCATGCCTGCTAAAGTATACTTATTCCTGGATCATAAATTAGTAGAAATCATCTTTTGAACTGCAGGCAGAGACATTGGAGGATCTGTACGAGTGGAAGACCGCCCTAGAGCATGCTCTTGCACACGCACCTAGTGCTGCTCTTGTTATGGGACACAATGGCATTTTCCGAAATGACACTGGTGATTCTATTGAAGGGTCTTTCCATCAATGTTAGTAATGTTATCTTCCAAGACTTCCGGTTTTACATTGTTAATGCTCCAGATGAGATTTGGCTGCTATGTCCAGATAAAACTTGCCTGTTCCCTGTTTGTTGTTAGGGCGTAAAGATCTGACCAGGTTTCTTTTTATTCAGGGAGGGATAAACGTCCTGTTAAATCTTTAGTTGTCGGAAGACCAATTTTGCTCGCCTTAGAAGATATAGATGGAGGCCCATCATTTCTTGAAAAGGCACTGAGGTTTCTCGAGAAGTTTGGTAAGGCAACCCGTTCCCTCCTGAAATATGGGTTGTGCAAGAGTAATATTGAAATATTGTTTGCTTTAAATTACGTGGTTACTTTAGTTGGATAACCTTTTTCGGTTGGTGTAATATCTTTTGTTGGATAAACTTTAGATGTTATTGTGTTTGGAAACGTGGATTAAGGCGGACTTGATATTGATATTGCTTGGAAATTTTCCATTTTCCAACAACTTATGGCCAGAAAATTTGGAAAATCTAGAAAGCTCAGGCATATTGATTCTCAACACAAGAAGCAAACCCAAACTTGTTCTTTCTTATTTGTGCATACCTATTAGCTATAAAGATGTTCTACAAGCTGTTGATTATAATTAGAGGAGCGTTGATATAAACTGTGGATTATATAGCTGTTCCAGTTTCTTTTGTGGATTATTGCAAAGTAGTTTTTCGTTCCTAGTTTCTTTTTGGTGTACTCATGAGGTCCCTATTTGTATAGAGGATTGGATCTCTTTTGTTGAGAACCATATTTTGGTGTAGGCTCTCTTTTTTTGGTACACGACTTATATACGGGGTTAGTCCCCACTTGTTAATAAATTATTTACCTTATAAAAAAATAGCTGTTCTATAAGCTCTGGGTGTTACGTTGGTCTTGAGGAAATTGAATGATGGAAATTCTGAGTCTGTGAAGAGCCCCAATTTCTCTCTTGTTTCTCTTTAGTTTCTGAACCTATTTTCCTTTACTCTGATACTTGTTGCAATATTGAATATCTGCTTAAATCACATATTATGATGTTCACATTGTTATCTCTCACTTACTGAGGATGTTGAATGGGGTTAATGATGATCAGGTTATGTTTGTAAATTATTGAGGTATTATCATTTTTAGCCCGTGCCAGAAACTATTTACGAATAGCCGAAAAAGTGTATAAAATTTGTATAATTTTTGTATATAACATATAGAATGTATATATATACAAATATATATAAATTTTATACATTTTTTCGGCTATTATTTTTACAGCGACTATACAATGTCATTTAGCGTAAATTATTTTGATTATAAACTGCCTATTTAGGAACCAAGGTCGAAGGTATATTGCGACAATCTGCAGATGTCGAGGAAGTGGAGCGGAGAGTAAAAGAATACGAACAAGGTACATCTGCTCTACTGCATGACTGCCATCTGTTGGGTGTACTATCACATTTCAAAAAGGGTTGTCTATCTGTACCATCTAATTTCGCTATGTTTCAAGAAATTGAAGTATTGTTTAGGTCTGGAATGCATTTTGGTTGTGTAATTCTTATCTCTGATTGTTATAGTCTGTACCTTGGTTTAGCAATTTTTTTTCTTTGCGGTAAGATAGTTTTAATAATGAAGAGTACTGAAGGTACTGCAAAAGTACAAAAGATCCAAACCAGATAACCTCAACAGTTGCTGCAACAAGGTTCGAAAAAATCCAAAAGAAATGCTGGATTTTTCAGCATACTGCCCCTACTTCACAAGTAAAAGTTTGCACGCATCTATACTTTACGAATGAAATATGTTGTTTTTTCCCCTTCAAAACACCTATTGTTCCTCTCCAACCAAGTAGTCCACATAATGCACAGTGGGATGGTCTTCCAAGTTGGCTTCAAGCTCATGTCCAACTTCTGATTCTGCCAGAGAGTGAGATGGCCTTTCACATCTTGTGGCATCATCCAACTTACTCCAAATATATTCGGAGGCCAAATATGTCAAGAGAAGTTGCAATGGAAAAAGAGATGTCTATTGGATTCCAAGGATTCTTCACATAAGAAGCATCTGTTTCCAAGGGAGAATCCCTTCCCTGTAACTCGTCCTAAGTCAAGCAAGCTTCCATTGCAGCTGTCCAACCAAAGCTAGCTGCTTTAGGGGGAGCTTTTGTTTTCCAGGCTTAGCAGAATGTTCATGGCATTGCTTCTCCTCCCGCTTGCTTTTGCATTGCTCCTCGCAGAAATGCCCTTAATGAAGTGTAGAGTACCGATTGCATTTGAGTAAAGGTCAATGTAGTGCTTTGCAACAGAACTAGGGTCTCACTAGTGGTCCAATCCTGTGTTTTCTAATGCAATGGCCCCATCTATTTGTCCGATCTATCAGTTTTTATAACTGATGATGAAATAATTGCTATTCACAAGAACTCGTGTACGACCATTATCTCTTTCTGTTTTCTCCCTGCTTTTATTCTCCTTTCTTTTAGTGTTGTGGATGTGGTCTAGCTAATTGTTTTTTGAAAAAGAACATGAAGGAGAATCTGTTTTGGTGGTTTATTATATGTCCTGTTGTCCTGTTAAATCGTGGATTCTCCTTAGCTTGCTGATTTCAAATTGATCTCCATAGGAAAAACTGAATTTGTGCCGGAAGAGGATGCTCATGTAATTGGCGACTGCGTCAAGGTATTGGTTAATATTTGATGAACTTACACTCATTTGATGCTCCCCCCTAATGTTGTTTCTCATTTTTATATCTTGATGCTCTTTAAGTACAACATAATTGGTGCTACATTTATGCAGCATGTGCTTCGTGAGCTGCCATCATCTCCTGTTCCTGCTTCCTGTTGCACCGCTTTGTTGGAAGCTTACAGTAAGTAAATTTCCAATTCCTTTATCTCTTACCCCCCACTGACCAGCTAGTGTGCAATGACGTCCGGTCTGCAAGCTACTCTATTTTTTTTCTTAGCTGCTCTGGATTCTATTCTCGCTTTAAAATCGAAAATGGATTTGATACAATTCAACAGAATCTAAGAAATGATCATAAGAGATTTTGTAACCATTTTCTGAGTATTTCTAATTTTCTTGTTACTTGTAGTCACCACGTGGCTCTCTTTCTTGTTATTCCTTGTAGTCTCTTTTATACTCGTGTGTTTATTTGCTTTTATAGCGAAAAGGTGCCCAAGTTGTGGGCTTAAACTCATGTTTTTTCCTCAAAGTTAACAAAATTTATTACATTATAATTTTTTGTTTAGTTTCACGCTCCCTAAAGTCATGTATAGCACGCACTATGTCCAACTCAACAATATAAATGCCACAGAAGCTCGGTCAGTGGTCAGAATAGCAGTTTCAAACATGTTCAGGTGTCTCGATGAAAACCTGGCCCCCGTGGAGTTGGGGGGCCGGAAACAGAATTCCGTGCTAGTGCGGGTGTCTATATACCTATTTAGCCAAAAAAAACTAAAGACAAAAGACGAGACTTCTCTCAAATGACAATCAGAACAGAGATGAAAGAAACTTTAAACTATGTGTTTCAGCTTTAGGCAATGATGTCTTGCCATCTTCCATACCTGCCAAGAAAGAAAAAAAAACCGTTGCCATCTTCCACCTTTTTTCCCCGAGTTCATGATACTTTCTTGCTTCCAGCAGTCAAATAATATAAATTATCAACTTTAAGATTTTAGTTAATTATTCTTGGAACTCAGCTAGATTATCAGTTGTGATTAAATTAGGACATCCATTACATACTTCCTGAGTTGTACCAGTCTATTTATATTTCTTAGTTGAAGTTACTGTAGATCCATGTCTTGGTTGCTTGAGTTTTTCTTTTCTTTGTGATTACATGGACTACTGTTTATGATCAGTTAATATTCTCCACTTTAGACTGTTGACACATAAGCAATTGGTTTTCTAAGTTCAAGTTGTTCCACTTTTGGCCATAATAGAAATCGATCGGAAGGAAGCTCGGGTCAATGCTATGCGCTCTGCCATTCTTGAGACATTTCCTGAACCCAATAGGCGCTTATTACAGAGGTAGATCCATTTTGTATTTGCTGATTAGTCTGCGTGTGATTCGGATTGGATCCTTGGGTTTCAGTTTTTCATGGAATCTTTTATGGTGCTGTTGTCTTCTGCTTCTAATTGGTATCACAACGTCCTGATAGATATACAGAGTCTTAGACAATTGAATTGCAAAATCCGTCCGGATATTAATTATCTGTCAAAAAAAGAAAATCCCTCTGGATACTAGAATCAAAATCCCAGAGAAATGTTTAGCGCTGAGCGGGTTATCCCAAAGCTTTCAACTACTGTTAGGGGATAAGTTCTAACTGTATGGTCTTGTTCCATTACTCAAAATTCTATAATCTGTATAAGGTTTTGTCTGACGCATTTTGTTTCTCTGGGAGCTCAGGTTGACTTTTTTCAAAGTTTGCCCACTTTCATTAATTTTCTTTGTCCATATACTTTTTTTATTAAGATGCAATATTTCAATATACTTCTGACAAACGTGAGGAAAATAAAAGGGATAGAGACAGAGAATAGAGATACTCTTATAGTCTCAGTTCTACAGTAACTCGAATCATATTTACACAGTAGTTATCCTACACCTTTATTTGAGGAAGATGAACTCTGTATACTAGTGAAAGAAGTATTTTTTGTTTTTTTTTTAAGCTTCAAGTTCATGCATCAGTTTACCAACCTAACCTATAATGTTCTTCCCGTAGAATTCTGAAGATGATGCATACAATTTCTTCACATGCATCTGAAAATCGGATGACTCCATCTGCTGTTGCTGCTTGTATGGCACCATTGCTGTTACGCCCTCTTTTAGCGGGTGAATGCGAGTTGGAAGATGACTTTGACGTTAGTGGAGATAACTCTGCTCAGCTTCTTGCTGCCGCTAATGCAGCAAACAATGCCCAGGCTATCATTACGACACTTCTTGAGGAATATGAGAATATTTTTGATGTAAGTGGCTCCAAAATAACTGACAAAAGTGCTTTCACCAAAAATTAAAACACTGAAGTGGCTTAAGAGTTCATTTCTTTCCCCTTTTGTGGTGCAATTTCTTTGTCCTTTTTCCTTATTTATGAGTTTATTTCACCATTCTCCTTTATTTATGGCGTTTATCTTTTTCCCATGGGATACCCTTTCATCTCTCTCTGCATTTATTTTCTTTTAGTTCATTCAAGACTTCCTCTTTCTCATGAAAATATTTTCTGTTTATTGACTTACTTGGTCTATCCTACTACCGTACATATTTGTTGAACTAGCTCTGTCCTTTGCAGAATTTACTGTGATAGTTGAGCTTAGCTGTTTGTTGGCTTTGCTTACAGGATGATAATCTTCATAGGTGCTCTATTTCAGCAGATTCTCAATTTGGAAATAGTGGGAGTGAAGAGTCGTCAGATGATGAAAATCTGGATATGAAGGACAATGGTTATCATGATGCTGAAAATGAGGTTGACCCAGACACTGACGATGATTGTGAGCGTGTATTGAGTGGAAAATTAAGTGAAAGCAGTGGCTCTGCTGCCAGTGATCTTTATGATTATAAGGTTCTTGCTCTTTCTCTTCCTCGGTCCTGAGACATGAATAAAGTGTTTCCGTTTTCCATTGCACTTACCGATTTCTTCTTTTCTCTTTCTCCAGCTTCTTCATTTATTATTATTTGAAGTTGTATTATTTGCTGAATCTGAACTGTTATGACAGCCTTTTTTATTTTTCTGAGAAAGCAATTATTCCATTAATATGATTGTGGATGATATGCATGCAAAAATAAAGAATCTAGACACAGATATAATTCTCTGAAAAGCACACCCACTTATCCATGATAATCAAATCTCGTAGGTGCTCGAAAAATTCTGTTCCGTTGTTCCTCTCTTTTCAAATCGTACACATAATTGCCAGTGACCACTTCCCATACTTTACTTCTTCTCCTCTTCCTTCTAAATGTCTAGCCTGACGTCAAATGTTTGATAGTAGCTGGCAGCAGCAACAACAACAACAACAACAACAACAAACCAAGTGTAATCCCATAAATGGGGTATGGGGAGAGTATTGTGTACGCAGACCTTACCCCTACCTTATAAAGGTAGAGAGGCTGTTTCCGATAGACTCTCGGCTCAGGGAACATTGGAGATAAGATAAAGCAGCCAAGTAGCATGGATTACCTTCCTCTTCCTCAATTGTTTGACAGTAGCTGACATCAAATGTTTGACAACATATTCCAAACTGTGCTTCACAAATGCATCCTTCCAGTCTCTTCCGCACAGAGCACTGAGTGGCATGGAGTACCGTCCTCTTTCTCCAATCCTCGGCGATGAGAGTGGCTTCTCTCGTTGCTATCCAAGCTAAAAGTAGACATTTATAGGTGCTCTAGGACCAAATCTAAGAGTAGGCAAGATGTATCTCCCTACTCAGTAAATTGTGATAAAATGATTTAACAATGAATAGTCTTATTAGGATACTTTGTCTTGGAATATGTGCAGTACATGATTTGTTTAAATTTGTTATAGTCAAACCAACATAATAAATGAAAAAGTTTGGTTCATATATGTCTGCCAACTATTTAAAAATTGGCTACTACTGCATTTATTGCAGTCAATTCGTCTTACGGCTCTTTCTGTACGAGGATATAGTTACTCTGGTTTGTGTCAGCCTGAATTCTGCTAATTTCTTATATGGACCGTTGGCAACTAGAATTTCCTGCCCTGGGTGTATTAGATTTCTGTAGATATTTATTTAGGGTGTGCATTAATTTGATATGCAGGGTTTCGGGGGTGATGATTCAGATGTTGGATCGCCTAGGGATAGTCGTGTACAAGGAGTGACGTTAAAACCAACTGTGGATACTCAGCCCCTTGCAGGTTCTAATGTTCCATTCAGCGAACAGCTGGAAAGATGTGGAAATGAGGTTGATGGTCCTTGTGAATTAGCTACTAGTGAGTCTCAGCGGTCTATGGGTGAAATACTCTCATCTAGGGATCCTGGGCCACCTCATGGTGTCTCCGGACCTGATTCACATGCAGACAAGACTAGCAGCAAGCTAACTCCTTCTAACCTGAATGTCAAAAGATCAACCTTTTGGGGGAGAAGCAGTGTGAGTTTTGACTTTTGTCGACTGATTTCACTTGAACTATTTAGTTTTTGTTGCTTAAACACCTTTTCAGTTGTAGTTAGTTGCGTAGTTTCTTTTCTTAAACACATGGAGCTTTTTTTTCCCGATCACGTGTTTAGTTTAACTTATGTGGGCATTAATCTGCAAATCTGTGGGGTTTCTCTAGTGTCTACAACAATCAAATTTTGAAACTTCTGTATTTTTTGAGAATTATCTGTGTTACCTTTTGCATATGTAGATCTTGCAATTAGGAAACTTCTCGGGCTTGAAACGTCAGGCTTAGTCATTGCATGCTGTACCGGTGGAGACCACAGCTAAATGAGAGTGCTGACTGGGATAAGATAATCATATTAATAGAACTTTAAATATGTCGGGCAAAAACAACAATTTGCTTTATTTTCCTTAAATAGGTAATCAAGCTTGTGAGAACTATTGATCAGTAGCATGAAAACTTAGTTTACTTGCTTTAAGTATAAAACAAATGAAAGGGTTGTGTCTGTTACCCTTATGATGACAGCTGACATTGGAAATCTGATCTTTTGTTTGTTTTCTTTTGCACAGGCCAGAAAGACGCNCCCTTCCCCTCTCTCTCTCTATCTCCTGTGGTGTCTAGAGAAACTTGTTTCATCTAATTGAAATGTAATCATTCACTCTTATGGGGATAAATAGATGCCTCTATGATGTCAATATGACAACTTCCTTTTACTTAAATTAAATAATTGAAGATTGATGATCAACAGATATCTCTGTGGCATCAATTTGGATATTTACTTCCTTTCTTATTGTACTTTGTTTTGGGTCTTAGGATTGTTCTGTACAAACTTGTGCTCTCTTGAAGTGTCCTAATATTCATCAGTAATGTTCTATGACAAACTTGCACTTTGTTTTGGATGTGATGTCCTTATAAGTATGTGCGCCTCTCTATATTTGTATGACTCACATTTTTCTGGATTCAAATCATACATTCAATACTGAAAGATAAAATGCTTTATCACTTTCATACTCTATTACATTAATGAGTTAGTTTAAATCTTGTCATTCCATTATTATTCAATGTCCTTTCTAATGTGATGACTTTTCGATAGGCTCGCTATACAGAGACTTGAGATTACCAAAAATGACTTGCGCCATAGGATTGCAAAGGAAGTAAGTTACATCAGTAGGCTTTGACCTCGTAATTCATCTTATCATTCCTTTTTTCTGAGACCATTTACCTTAAACTTTTGCTAGGCAAGAGGAAATGCAATTCTGCAGGCGAGCTTGGAGAGACGGAAGCAAGCCTTGCATGAGCGCCGCTTGGCTCTTGAGCAAGATGTATGATTTATTTCCGTGTGTAATAATTCCTAGAAAGCCTACAAATAATTGTGTATTTTCTAGCTAACTTCTTCCGTTTTCCAGGAGGGTCTGTGTTTAAATATGTAGTGGCTGCACTAGATCTACATATATACACTACTACTGAACCATATTCTTGGCGACCTCTTTCTTTTTTTGTCATTTATACCCTTTTTTGGGGGTGATTATTTAACCTTTCCCATTCAATTTCATTCCTTTCTATTTAATCTAACTTTTTTTTGTCTTTTGGTCACTATAGAAAATATAGCTGGTTTCTCGTTGATAAAATTTCTACTTCTCCTTCTATGTGTTCATTCTAATTTAGGATGTGCTGTGCACTTGTAGTTGATGAAACTCTTTGTTCCACAAGCTTCTATGCATCTTCGAATGTGTGAGATACTGTGTGATTTTGTTGAAGGTTGCAAGACTACAAGAACAGCTACAAGCTGAGAGGGATCTAAGAGCTGCACTGGAAGTTGGTTTGAGCATGTCTTCCGGACAATTGTCGGGCTCTCGTGCTATGGATTCCAAGGTTTGTATTGATGATTCGGTAGTTTTATATTGTTCCTGTTTTGGTTGATTTTGTTATGTTTCTGAAAGGACTTGTACTTTCTTAAAGACTAGGGCTGAGCTTGAAGAGATAGCCCTGGCAGAAGCAGATGTGGCTAGATTAAAGCAGAAAGTTGCTGAGTTGCATCATCAACTTAATCAGCAACGGCAGCATCACTATGGCTCACTATCTGATGCTTGTGATCGACTTCAACATGGGCAAAACCATAATTCTCAACTGTAAGTTTTGGAGTAGTCTTGAATGTTTTCAGGTCCCTTGCTTCAATTTCATGTACTTCTTGGTTGCATGCAGCCATTAACAATATACTCCCTCCGTCCCACTTTATGTGGCACTCTTCCTTTTTAGTCGGTCCCAAATCTTTCCTTATTTAGAAACAATTATCTTCAGAATTCCTACTTTAGCCTTAATGAATTGATTTACAGCCACACAAATATCTACGGTTTGTTTCAGACCACAAGTTTCAAAAGTCTTTCTTTTTTTCGTTAATTCCGTGCCGAGTCAAACACTGCCACATAAATTGGGACGGAGGGAATACTTATTATTTATGAAGAATTCTTCAATGGATTTCCAACTTTTCATCATGGGCTTTTCAGTTTGATTAAACATTTAAATGATGATCTAAGCTATTAAAACGAACGAAAAAAATATTGTCCGTGTATTTTTGTTCGAAGCAGAGAATAATTTAATACCACTGCAAGTGCTAGTGATAGTACCCTTTTTTCTTATGTACTATAGCAGAAGATGGTGGAGAAAATGACAAAAGAAGGAATAATTTGGTCTATTTTTAGGAAAAGAGGATTGATTTGTCTTAATTTGTGAAAATGTGTGGTTTTGTTGTGGCTCAAGGAGTAACCTCATGTTAATTACATTGATGGCTTCAGCAAGTTTTAAGCTAGTAAAGCTTTATGGTTTTATAACTCAGTGTCATTTTATTGCACTGTCTGTTCCCTTTTCTGTTACACTATTTGACTGAGTACAGTCTTATACGTTAATCTTTTCATATAAGTAATGATGCAAGAAAATATTTTTATAGTAGTTGAAAGATTTGCTTGGAAGAGAAAATACAACATCAAAGTTTAAATTTTAATTGTTAAATGAATCTAATGTTCTGAAATTTGTGAAAGTCGTATGAGATAATATTATGACTAGATAGGATCAAATACGTTAGAAATCCCAAAATGGAAATGAATGTCATGCAAATTGGGACAGATAAGTAATAATCCGGCTGAGAAGTGATCGTTCTTTGACTTGTAGCTGCAAGTGTAGATAAGTTTTAGCCGAGGAACGATTTATTCAGCTGTGGAAGTTGGGTATCTTTTGGTGTCCAACAACTCAGCCATTATTAGGCATTACAGAAATAAAAGCAGGCAATACTTTTCTTCTAAGATGGAACAGTTGGATATGTGCCTATTATTTAAGCTTGGATTATTTAGCATCTGGGTGTGGGTACTGCCTCCATGTTACAACACCGCAACACATTGTTTTTTCCCTTGTCATAGAAATTGAGAAAGAGTTCAGCATGAGATATTGGAATTACATTTCATCTTTGGGCATGCATATTTGAAAGAATTGGGGGGAGATTGAAGTGAAATCATCTTTCATCTAACATGTTATTGATAAATTTTTCCTTATGAAGTGTGTTTTTATTTGCAGGAAGTATTTCCAGCAAGATTTTGACACAACACTTGCTTTCTGTAATCATGAAAGAAGACAGAGAAGTGAGGTGATTTTTATCTTTTATAGCTTAATCAGCATAATGATGGGTATGCACATTTCATTACACAATATTGGCTCATTCATAGAGGTTAACTTGCAGCATCCCATCTGGGTCTCGACCTGGATCTCAGAATTCTTAATCGCACTGTAATTGATGTTGCATCTTCTTATCTGTGCTCTTAAGCTATATCTTGCTTCTTCCTGTAATTTTGTATGATAAGTACTCTGTAGTTGGAGACCCTGCTTTTTTGTCTATAAGGGAGCAAATTTTAAACCCCTGTCCTGTATATTTTATGAGTTCTTTACTTCTAGTACTACATGAGCTATAAGTTGAGAACGTATAGCTAGTAACCATGGGATTCGCTGAAAAACCATGGAAGATCAATCTTTACATAAATATATACTTTGATTCACTCAAAGGCTCTTTCGACCTTTACCGCTATTGCATCATTTCCTCTTCTTTTCGTACCTGAAGATGTGAATGTCAACTCTCTTCCCATTTGTGCAGATATCCACCTACAAGCTGTGAGAAATTACTCTCTTGTAATTGGTGGAATAACTTCTTACTTTGTTCCATGTTATAGTTTTATAGCTTGTTAGATCCATGCACATGTCTTGTGCCGAGATTGGACTTAGGAGCTGAAAAAATGATAGCCTCGTATATTCTGTGGGTGAGGTTTATCTGTTGAAGTTCATCACCTAATGACAGATATTTAGGCGTCTTTATTATCTCTAGTAACCACTAGAATCTGCAGGAAATTTAAAAGGTTTTTGAGCATTTAACTAATGCTGTTAGAGCTGAACTGTTGGGCCAAAAAAGCCTCTCTTTTTTTTCCTTTGTCAATGAAAATTATTTGTCAAAAGGATAGATGCATATCTTCTTGAAATTCTGACCTCAAGGTAGTAAATCACAATTTTCATGATTTCATCCAATATTCTTCAGTTGTGTATAAATTTTCATAAATGCTAAAACTTCTGAAATTAATGCAGGAATTGCTGGGTGCAGATACGAGGAATGTTAAAGGACAAGTACTGACATCTGGCCCCAGCAGTAGACAACCTGCCCGAAAGCTATTTCTTGATACAACCTCAAGTGATTCCAAGAGTATTGAGGCTTCAACTAGTTTATCCTTGGATGAACTCGGTGCCATTGATTCTCCCTCCGTGCGTTCTACTTCAAGGACCGCTGAGGTAACAGAAATAAAAACTTCTGCTGCTTCTCGTTCTCAACAGCTCATGAACAAGTGGTCACACTATAGGCTACAGTGCAAACTCATGCCCCCTTGGATGACCCCAATGCTATAGAAATGCTATAACATAATTTGGCAGGATTCCTTATATAGGAATTTTAGCCAGCATGGTTTTCTCTTGTCACTTTTTGATTTAGCAACATCAGACTTGTTGTTTAGTAACTTTGTTAGATCACCCTTAACTAGAGATCTCGAATTCGAGCTCTAAGAATGGAGTCCTCTTCGAGGGAGCACTAAAACCTCCTATAGTGGGTTTTCTATGGCATGAGTCTGGATTTAGTCGGACCTCTGTTAGATCTAGCGCATATATGATTATTTTGAACTTCATTGTCATGTTGTGATGATCTTTGACGATGAATTTAGCAGGCGATGGATTATAGCCGACATCCCTCAGCTACATCTTCCACTTTGGTAGAATTAACAACGCGTCTGGACTTCTTCAAAGAAAGACGGTCTCAGCTCATGGAGCAACTCCATAACCTCGACTTAAACTATGGATCAACATCTCAAGACTTTATGTACAAACCTCCATCTCCTCCGTGGAACTGACTAAATGTTTTGTAGAGGCACGTGAAGGGAAGCGGCCAATATCTCAGCATTTGTACATCCTCTGTATCATAGCATATAACTCTGTCATGTACTTTATGTACTACCATATGTACCCTTTTGTTTCTTCCACTTCTTTTTTGGTTTTAGTTATATCATTCATTTTGAATTACACCGAAAAAATAAATGAATACTTCCCGCTGTATAATAACACAAAAATCTGAGAATCGGTCTACGACCCTAAAACGCCAAGAAACGAGGAACGGTAACGGCGAGCCGATGATTATTGTTCTTTAGGTCGTTTTTTATGGCCTGACCAAAAACTTAGCCGATCCGGGATCGTGCGCCGAGGCCCATGCAGATGGCGTGGGCTATATAGCATACACAAATTCTGGAATCGAGTGGAATTTTAGTTTTATGACCCTAAAACACCAAAAAACAAGGAACAATCACGGTGAGATGATGACTATTGTTCTTTAGGTCGTTATAGATGGGTCGGCAACATTTTAGACGAATGCAAATGGCGTGGGTCGGCAACATTTTAGACGAATGCAAATAGTGTGACCTATAACATACGAAAATCTGGGAATCGGTCGAAACTCTAGTTTATAGCCTTGAAACGCTAAAAAACGAAGAAAGGTCATGTCGTGGCGATGACTATTGTTCCTTAGGTCGTTTTAGATGGGCTGACAAAAATTTAGGTGATCCGGGTCCGGTTGCCAGGACTCGTACAGATGGCGCACATGAAAAATTGAAAATCAGGCGAAATTCTAGTTTTATGGCCTTAAAACGCCAAAAAACGAGGAATGATTATAGCGGACGATGACTATTGTTCCTTAGATCGTTTTAGAAGCAAAATTTTAGGCGTTCCGGGTCCGGTCGCCCGGACTCATGCAGATGACGTGAGTTATAGCACACGAAAATCTGGGAATCGAGCTAAATTCTAATTTTGTGGCCCTAAAACGCCAAAAAATGAGAAATGATTATGGTGATGCGATGACTATTGGTCCTTAGGTCATTTTTTATGGGACGACAAAATTTTAGGCGATCTGGGTTCATTGCCTGGACCAATACAGATGACGTGGGCTATAGCACACGAAAATCTGAGAATCGTACGGAATTCCAATACTAGGGCCATAAAATGTCAAAAAATGAGAAACGATCATGGTGGCGATGACTATTGTTCTATAGGTCGTTTTTGATGGGTCATCAAAATATTAGGCGATCCGGATCCGGTCGCTCGGACCCATGCAAAAGACGTGTGCTATAGCATACGTAAATTTGAGAATCGGGCAAAATTTTAGTTTTATGGCTCTAATACGCCAAAAAATGAGGAACGGTCATGGCGAGACGATGACTATTATTCCTTTGGTTGTTTTTTATGGGCTGGTAAAATTTTGGGCAATCCGGGTCTGATCGTCCGGACCCATATGGATGGCATGGAATATAACACACAAAAATCTGGGAATTAGGCGAAATTCCTTTTTTATGGGCTAAAACGCATAAATAACACACGAAAATTTGGGAATCATACGGAATTTTAGTTTAAGGGTCGTAAAACGCCAAAAAATGAGGAATGATCATGGTGAGGCATTGACTACTGTTTCTTAGGTCATTTTTGATGGGTTGGTAAAATTTTAGGTGATTCGGGTCTGGTCTCCAGTATTCATGTAGATGGCGTGGGCTTATAGTATACGAAAAAATTGAGAATCTCGCGAAATTCCAGTTTTATGGCTCTAAAATGCCAAAAAATGAGGAACGGTAATGGCGATGCAATCACTTATTTTTAGGTCATTTTTTATAGGTCGGCAAAATTTTTGGCGATCCGGGTCTATTGCTCGGACTAGTGCAAACGATGTGGGCTATAACACACGAAAATCTCGAAATTGGACAGAATTCTAGTTTTAGGGCCGTAAATGCCAAAAAATGAGGAATGGTCATGGCGAGGCGACTATTATTTCTTAGGTTATTTTTTATAGGGCGGCAAAATTTTAGGCGATCTGGGTCCCGTCGCCCCAGACCCATGCAGATGGCGTGGGTTATAACACACGAAAATCTCGGAATTAGACGGAATTCCAGTTCTAGGGACGTAAATGCCAAAAAACGAGGAATGATCATGGCGAGGCGATGACTATTGTTCCTTAGGTCGTTTTTTATAGGGCGACAATTTTAGGCGATCCGGGTCCCGTCGCCCGGACCCATGCAGATGGCATCGGGTATAGCACACAAAAATCTGGAATTCCAGTTCAATTCCAGTTTATTGACCTAAAATGCCAAAAAATGAGGAACAATCATGACGAGGCAATGACTATTGTTCCTTTGATCGTATTTGATGGGCCGATAAAATTTTAGGCGATCCGGGTCCAGTTGCCCGGACATATGTAGATGACGTGGGCTATGCACAAAAAAATCTCGGAATCAGGCGAAATTCCTGTCATATGGCCCTAAAAGCCAAAAAACGAGGAACGATCACCGCGAGGCAATGACTATTATTCCTTAGGTTATTTTTTATGGGCCGACAAAATTTTAGACGATTCGGGTTCGGTCGCCTGGACCCATGCAGATGGCGTGGCTATAACACATAAATCTGAGAATATGGCGGAACTCCAGTTTTATGACCCTAAAATGCCAAAAACAAGGAATAATCATGGCGAGACGATGACTATTGTTCCTTAGGTTGTTCTGATGGCGTTGGTTATGGCACATGAAAATAAGAGAATCGGGCATAATTTCAGTTTTATGGCCTTAAAATGCCAAAAACGAGGAACGGTCATAGCGAGGCAATGACTATTATTCGTTAGGTCATTTTTGATAGACCGACAAAATTTTAGGCAATCTGGATCCGGGCGACCAGACCCATGAAGATGGCATGGGATATAACACACAAAAATATGGAAATCGGACGAAATTTTAGTTTTATGGCCCTAAAATGCATAAAAACGAGGAACAGTCACGGCAAGGCGATGACTATTGTTCCTTAGGTCGTTTATGATGGGCCGACAAAATTTTTGGCGATCCGGGTCCGATCGCCTGGACCCATGCAGATAGCTTAAGCTATAACATATGAAAATCAAGGAATTGGACGAAATTTAAGTTTTATGATTCTAAATCGCCACCACTTCCAACCAAGAGGTTGTGAGTTCGCGTCACCCCAAGAGCAAAGTGGGGAGTTCTTGGAGGGAGAGAGCCGAGGGTCTATCGGAAACAACCTCTCTACTCCAGGGTAGGGGTAAAGTTTACGTACACAGTTTTCTCCCCAGATTCCACTAGTGGGATTATACTGCGTTGTTGTTGTTGTTTTTGTTATAAATAGCCAAAAAATAAGGAACAGTCATGTCGAGGCGATGAATATTGTTCCTTAGGTCGTTTATAATGTGCCGACAAAATTTTGGGCGATCCGGGTCCGGTTGCCCAAACCCATGCAGATGGCGTAGGCTATAGCATATAAAAATCTGAGAATCGGGCGAAATTACAATTTTATGACTCTAAAACGCCAAAAAACTATGAACGGTCACGGTGAGGCGATGACTATTATTTCTTAGGTCGTGTTTGATGGGCCGAAATTTTTTTAGGCGATCCGGTTCCGGTTGTCCTGACCTATGAATATGACGTGGGTTATAGCACACGTAAATTTGAGAATCGGGAGGAATTTCAGTTTTATGGCCCAAAATGCCAAAAAAGAGGAACGGTCTTGGCGAGGTGATGACAATTATTTCTTAGGTCATTTTCGATGGGCCGATGAAATTTAAGGCAATCCGAGTCCGGTCGCCCGGACCTATGCAGATGGTGTGGACTGTAACACACAAAAATCTAAAAATCGGGCAGAATTCAAGTTTTATGTCCCTAAAATGCCAAAAAATGAGGAATGATCATGGCAAAATAATGACTATTGTTCCTTAAGTTATTCTTGATCAGCCCAAAATTTTTAGGCAATTCGTTTCCGGTCGCCCGGACCCATGTAGATGGCATTGGCAATAGCACATAAAAATCTGAGAATCGGGCGAAATTCATGTATTGTGGTCCGAAAACGCCAAAAAATGAGGAACGGTCACGACGAGATGACTATTGTTCTTTTAGTCGTATTTGATGGATCGATAAAATGTTAGGCAGTCCGGGTCCGGTCGCCCGGACCCATGTAGATGGCGTGTGCTATAGCACACGAAAATCTAGGAATCAGGTAAAATTCTAGTCTTATAGCGCCCTAAAACAAGGAGCGGTCATGGCGATACGATGATTATTGTTCCTTATGTCGTTTTTGATAAGCCGACAAAATTTTAGGTGATCCGTATCCGGTCGCCCGGACCCATACATATAGCGTGAGCTATGCACACGAAAATTTAGAAATCAGGCGCCATTCCAGTTTTATGACACTAAAATGCCAAAAATGTGGAGCGGTCATGGCGAGACGATGACTATTGTTCCTTAGGTCGTTCCTATATGCCGGCAAAATTTAGGCCATCTGGGTCCGGTCGCCCGAACCAATGCAGATGGTCCATCAAATACGACCTAAGGAACAATAGTAACGAAAATTTGGGAATCTGACGCATTTCCATTTGTATTGCCTAAAATGCCAAAAAACTAGGAACTGTCATGGCGACACGATGACCATTATTCCTAAGGTCGTTTATATGGGCTGGCAAAATTTTAGGCGATCCGAGTCTAGTTGTCCGAACTCGCGTGGGCTATAGCACACAAAAATGAGATAAACAAGCGAAACTTTAGTTTTATGACCTTAAAACGCCAAAAATGAGGAACGGTCATGGCGATGCGATGACTATTGTTCCTTAGGTTGTTTTTGATGGGCTGAAAATTTTTTTAGGAGATTTCGGTCCGGTCACCCAGACCCATGCAGATGGCGTGGGTTATAACACACAAAAATCTAGGTATGGGGTAGAATTTTAATTTTATAAAAGTGAGAAACAGTCATGAAGAGGTGATGACTATTGTTCCTTAGATCTTTTTGATGCATCGGCAAAATTTTAGGCTATCCGGGTCCGGCGTCCGGACCCATTAAAAATGGTGTGGGCTATAGAACACAAAAATTTGAAAATTTGGCTAAATTCCATTTTTATGGACCTAAAAACAAAGAAAGAGGAACGGTCATGGCGAGGGAATGACTATTGTTCCTTAGGTATTTTTCTATGGGTCGACAAAATTTTAGGCAATCCAGAA